CACAAAATGCCGTTAGCCTTCTTGGCAACAAGAGCACACTGTTGACTCATATCCAGCTTCTCGTCCACTGTGACCCCTAGGTCCTTTTCTGCAGAACTGCTACCTAGCCATTCGGTCCCTAGTCTGTAGCAGTGCATGGGATTCTTCCGTCCTATGTGCAGGACTCTGCACTTGTCCTTGTTGAACCTCATCAGGTTTTTTTTACTGCCAGTGTGTTATGAAATACTAGCTGTTGCTACCTTCTCATGATTAAAGTTGCTAGTGAGTATCTCAGAGCCCAGCTTTCCCCAACTGCCCTACTTTCTAGTCCACAAGCAGAGGCTTCAAAATTGGTAGATTTGGTTTGGGGCCAAGGAAGAATTTTTCTATCAGATTTAAAGTGGATTGGACCAAGGGTGTTTCCTAACTATTCTAAATACAGGAACTATTCAGAATCTGAAATGTTTGTGTGTTTTGGCACTTAGTTTCAAGAAAAGATGAGACAGAGAGCGTGCATGCTTAATTTTCTGGTCTCATCTAGTTTAAAAGTTGATGTCCAGATCCAAAACTTAGGTATGTAAAAAGCTAAGAATTTAAATAGGAGCTTCACGTGCCAGCCCAGAAGGCAGAGGAGGTAGCTGAGCAGGGATGGGTTCTTTGTTCCTCAGGACACCTGTATGCACTGTGTGAAGCCCAGGAAAATGAGTGCGGGGAGCAGACTTTGCCCCTTGGGTCACTTTCCTGGCATCCCTAGTCCCCCTTCAGATCCTGTCTCCTCCTTTGCTTCCTGTACCTATACCATCCTCAGCAGACCTGCTAAGATATTTACTTCCTGCATATTTCAGGATGTTTACAGAAGTTGGAGAGGTATAGGGAAAGTATAGCGCTTGGGGACAGCGAGGTCACAAGATGGGAGAGTCACTCCTTCCTCCTTTTCATGAGCTTTGGGTGGGGCTCTTCAGGGACATCCTTCAGTCCTTATTCTGTTCCTCAGCCCCCAACAAGACTAAAAATTGGCCTTTTGCGTGGTTGACAACTCTGTCTAGCTCTCTGGGGAGAAGGGTGTGTGCTTTGATTCTCCAAAGCGTTGGCCCAAGTGCAGCACCATTCCTGCACTCTCCTCAGGAGCAGAAGGGGAATGGCTGGGTTTTTTTTTTTTTTTGAGCAATATTCCCTCCAACTATACTCTCTCTTCTCTATCCAAACAGCTGTCTCCTGCTGCCCCAACACTCCCTCAGCACCATCTTCAGATTTTCATGTTTGGCTTTCCCTCTTCCACTCTTCTCAGTTTCCCATCCTCATCCTTGATGACCTCAATCTCCACATTGATACCCTCCCCCCTACACACACTTGACTTCTTGTCCTCCTGTCTTATGATTTTAAACCATGATATAGCTTGCTCACTTACCAAAATGGCCACTCATCTGATTTTGTTTTCACTAAAAAACTGTTCCTTCTTGATTTCTCTGTATCCAAAGGCGGCTTCAGTCAGAAAAATCTGTCCTGGTAAAGAAGGGACGTGAAAGCAGCAATTTTATCAAATGGAAAAAGAGAAAGTTGATGATAGTGATTTGATAGTAGTAAATTAGCAGTTATGCAGTGCAGACAATTGATAAGGCAGAAAGTAAAAGCATTATTGGAAAAAAATGCACAGTAAGATGTTAGTTGGCTAACTTATAATCCATTTGACAGATCTCAAAAAGTAACTAAATGGGGACTCATTATCTGAAAACATTTTTAATAGTGTAGCTAACTTACCTAGGGACATGCTGGATTCTCCATCTCTTGGAGTCTCTAAATCAGGAACGGATGTCTGTTTCTAAAAGACATGCTGTAACTCACCAGAAGTTATGAGCTTGAAGTCCTGCACTTAGGAAGGAAGAATCCCATGCACCGCTACAGGCTGGGGACCGAATGGCTAAGCAGCAGTTCTGCACAGAAGGACCTGCGAATTACAGTGGACGAGAAGCTGGATATGAGTCAGCAGTGTGCCCTTGTTGCCAAGAAGACCAACGGCATATTGGGCTGTATTAGTAGGAGCATTGCCAGCAGATTGAGGGAAGTGATTATTCCCTTCTATTGGGCACTGATGAGGCCACGCCTGGAGTATTGTGCCCAGTTTTGGTCCCCCCACTACAGAAGGGATGTGGACAAATTGGAGAGAGTTCAGCGGAGGGCAACAAAAATGATTAGGGTGCTGGGGCACATGACTTACGAGGAGAGGCTGAGGGAACTGGGGTTATTTAGTCTGCAGAAGAGAAGAGTGAGGGGGGATTTGATAGCAGCCTTCAACTACCTGAAGGGGACGGAGCTAGGTTGTTCTCAGTGGTGGCAGATGACAGAGGAAGGAGCAGTGGTCTCAAGTTGCAGTGGGGGAGGTCTAGGTTGGATATTAGGAAACACTATTTCACTAGGAGGCTGGTGAAGCACTGGAATGGGTTACCTAGGGAGGTGGTGGAATCTCCCTCCTTAGAGGTTTTTAAGGCCTGGCTCACTAAGCCTTGGCTGGGATGATTTAGTTGGTGTTGGTCCTGCTTTGAGTGGGGGATTGGACTAGATGACTTCCTGAGGTCCCTTCCAACCCTGATATTCTATGATGTGGGAATCACTGGGTGAAATTCTCTGGCCTGGCCTCTGCAGGAGGTCAGAGTAAATTATTTTAGTGATTCCATCTGGCCTTAAGTTTTATGAATCCTCTCTCTCAGATTGCCACTGAGTCTCATTGTATATGGTCCACTCACCTTCTACATCCCACTTCTCTGCAATCCTCAGGCTATTGTCTTCTTACACTCTTCTTACCCACTTTCTTTTGCACCCTCATTCTGCTTTCTCCATCACGTTTGACTCCTGTTCCCCTCTTCTATTGTAAAGTGCATCCCAGTAACCCACGGCACTGGCTCAGTCTGTTTCCTCCACTCCTGTGTTGCCTGCACCTTCATAGGAAGGCCCAGGACTGCACTGATTTCCTCCACTACTGGATTATTATTTTCTTCTTCAACTCTGGCAGTTCCATGGCCAAGCAACAATCCTTCCTCATTGAATCCTTATCCGTAACCATTTAATCTCATCTTTTACAAGAGAAGCTCAAGTGCTTTTCTCTGAATCATACTCGTCTAGTGCTGACCCTGCCACCTTTAGCCATATACAGGCTTCAGGGGGAAAAAAATCTACTTCATAAGACACATCCTGAAGACCTCATTAAAGGCCTGTGCATACTGACAGGAGATCCTCAACAGCTTGCAGGAGCAGGCTTTGTGGTTCTGTATGCTAGCCAATTATCCAAGAGTCATTAGAAACAGAGTCAGCAGGTTTACAATAGAGACCTGAAACCAATTATAAACTGATGTCTGTGAAGCACAATTTCAGCACACCTCTACCCCGATATAACACGAATTCGGATATAATGCGGTAAAGCAGTGCCCCGGGGGGGGGGGGGGGG